CCACCGACAGCAGTAGCACCATGGCGTGCGCCACGCTCAAGAGGTCCTTGGAATTCGACCCGGTGCACAGCCACGGCCGGCCCAGCAAACGACGGAGGTGCATGCCGATGTCGTGCGCCTCGCCCGGCGCTTCCGCGTCGTCACCACGAAGTGGACCGCTGCCGCAGAAATCGTCGCCGTTCGGCGAGATAGCTAGCAAATTGACGCCTGGTAATTACACCGCAGGCTACGGCCATTTTTTCTCTCGCTCTCCGTCGCACCCGTCGCATTTCCCCTATGTTTATCTCTGTCTCTCGCTCTCCTCTCCCCTTTAGCCTTCCTGTCGTTCTCTCTCTCTCTCTCTCTCTCTCTCTCTCTCTCTCTCTCTCTCTCTCTCGCGCTCTTTCTCTCTCTCCCTCTCTCTCCCGTCCCTCCCTCGTCCCTCCCTCGCACGCGTATTTGTCTTCATTGCGCGCAGAGAGAATGAGCGTGAAGGGGCGTGAAGGGATAGGAGGAAAGATTGGGCGAAAGAGAGAGATGGCGAGTAGGGGCGGCTAAGCTCCAGCGATTTAAAACCCGTCCACACTGGGGGAGAGGGGGAGGGGGGAGGGCACGCGTAAATCATATGGTAATGTAGTAACGGACGCGCTCGGGGGATTCGGGTTTTCCTCCCCCCTTTTTTTTCTTTTTCTTTCTCCGGTTTTTCCCGTGCTGCGAAAGGAAGCCCGCAAAGATGCGTCTGGAGTAGCGTTTTCTACTTTCCATGCACGCGCGACAAGTCTGAGAGATAGATAGATATATATATATATGTGTGTGTATATATGTATATATATGTGTATATATATATGCTAATATAAGAGATCATTATATACATATTTATATATGTATATGCTAATACAAGAGATCATTATACACACACACACACACACACACACACACACACACACACACACACACACACACACACACACATATATATATATATATATGCATATACATACACATACATATTAAAAGTGATGTTTCATTTTTGAAAGAGAGTTATCACTGACGCGTCCGTCTTGTCAACAGAAATACTTGAAACATGATTGGACGATTTAGAATATGTTGAAGGATGGAAAATAGGGTATTGTTCAGGTACACCGCTGAATAAGTTATTAAACCTGCGTAATCAGTCGAAAACATAAAACCTACAGTTGAGAAAAATTGAGAGAAACAAAAACAGCTATTAGAATGCCAGCTGACAATGAAATATAAGATAAATATAAGATAAAAGCTACGAACGGAATAAGCAGATAGTAAATTGAGACAGAAATGATAACTAATCCAGTCAACATGCCACAAGTCGTAAAAAACATTACAAGTGCATTTATAAAAACAGCTAAATGCATATCATTAAATTATTATCCAGATCTTATAAGTCATTACGTAGCGACATACCTGGACAATACATGATATTTTATGTAATATATTAATTCTTTATATAATATAATATTCAAAGGTGCCAAAGGGTTTGCGGGTTATCACTGTGTCATGATCAATTGCTAATGTCAACGTTTTGTGAATTTTGCCGTTCACTTTATCAGGGCGAGAAGCTCTTTAGTAATGTATCATGACACGGTAATAACCTGCAAACCCTTTAGCATCTCTGAAGAAAATGTCAATGAAAGCCTCATAAATTTATGTAATATATAATTTGATTATTTTATTTAAACAAGAAATTATTTAAGTATATGTATAATATACATTTAAATACTTAAAAAAAATATTCAAATATTTTACAAATTTACATTATGATGGACATTGTTTCATGTGAATGACATGTTATTACATTAATTTTAATCACATAATTGTATTAATAATTATGAAATTTCAATATAAAATGAATAATATAAGTATATAATGAAACATAAAAGGAACAAGCTGAAGTTTGTTATTTTAACTTTCACCAAATTACCCTTAAATATTTACCTGGACAAATATTTTAATATTTAAATTTAAATATTTTTTTTTACATAAATTTTGTTACAAATATTATTACCATAAAATAGAAACTGTTAATTTCTTATAAACAGGAGTCAATAAAGTACTTAGTAAATATTTTTAGTGTTATTGTGAATACGATCCCTGCTTATAAATATAATATTTATCTGGATAAATGTTGTATATTATTGTTTAACTGCACATCAAATGGAGTAACAATCAATTTTACTTGTTAAAAAATTTTTGCGCACTATCCGCGCTGATTCTCAGTAGCCTAGATTATCTTTATTTTTGTTATTTTAAAGAGAGAGAGTCCTTGGTAAACACATTTATTTCCTTGTATATTATTGTATTATAAACTGTACGTTAATTGTCGTTTTATTGAAAATTAATCCAAATTTAATATAAAAAAATATATATATATAAACAATATTTCTTTTAAACAATGTACATTTGTTTATACAGAAAAGATGGCTGCCAACATCAGAGAAGAAATCCGCAGATTGCAGCGACGTAAACAATTGCACTTTCAGCCTCAAACGAACAGCGGCGACTCATCAGACATGGAAGGACCTTCTAGTCCTTCTGGTCCATCTGGCTCTTCTTTAACTCTCTTTAGTCATAACACTAGTGGAAAAGAAAAACCACTTTTCACATTTAGACAGGTAAAATCTTCTAATCATTTGCATATTTTAATAGGAAATACAAATATGTGGATCACTTTTTGTTTACGTTCCCATATAGTACAGAAACTTGCAGGAACATTGCTGCAACATTTGCAATGTTGCTAGAATAATCTGTATAGAGTTCTGATTACTTCATTAGAGATAAATATCGATTATTATAAGTAAAAGTTTTGATTTTATTGATATGTCCATAAGATTAATGTTATAGGTTGGCTTGATCTGTGAGCGAATGCTCAAAGAGCAAGAAACGCAAATCCGAGAAGAGTATGATAAGATCTTACATTTAAAGCTCTCCGAACAGTATGACGCTTTTGTTAAATTCACATACGATCAGATACAAAAAAGATTTGAATCCGCAGCTGCACCGAGTTGTAAGTATTTTAAGAATGATGATGTCTGCACGCCTTTTGTTTTTCTTGTATTACTTCTACACGATTTTTATATTTCCAGATCTATCATAAGAAAAGTTTCTTATTTATAAGAAGACATTTCTGTGAGGAGTATTAGGTAAATTTTGTGAACATGTTCTTTTTTTCCTAGAGAAAACTATGAAACATTTAATTAATAAGATATAAAGCAGAAATCTATTACTACTTTTTTAAAAAACATTTTGTCATATTGTAGATTTCTACTGTGTGAGACAAATTTTGCTTGCGCCGAAGTTTGCAGCGCCGCCTCGCTTCGGGAATCACCTCTAAAAAGATAAATGGTTTCAGCAGTGTCTAATAAAAAAAAAGAACTAAAAAGGTGAGAACGGGGAAAAATAAAAAAAAATGATTAGTAATGTAAGTTCGTAGAGAGAAAGAGAGTGAGAGTGAAAGAGAGAGAAAAAAAGAGTAAATTGCGGTGAATTGTAAACATATTACGAAAATTTACCATGTATACTTTCGAGACTAACAATATTTGTACTGTTCGACATTAGAAGTGCGCTGGTATCAGGGAACTGATTCTACTTATGTACAAATGTTATTACGGTTAAAAATACAATATATGTGTACACAGTGCAAGGCTAAAGCGCGAAGTTTGATATCCAGCTGAAAGAAGAAAGAGAGCAAGAGAGAAAGCTGAGAGATTTCTTTCTAGCTTCACATAAACACACACATATACACACACACACATGAATATATTTTTCTCTTAGCTTGTTTGGAATATTGTAAAATGTAAACGAAAATTTGAGACACTTTGCGCATGTCGTATAGATAGAGCATTGTGTCGAATACTAAGTAAGATATTTCAATAAGTTTTTCGTTTGTTCATCTTGACGCTACGACAGTTTAGACATTGCTCAAGTATATACGGCAACCAATGCTCTAAGCATCTTATCGCAAATGTGTTGGATGCATCTTGCGAGTTTTGAGGCTGGAGATAATGTGCATTCGCGAATAAAAGGATTGCCTTTTCGAATCCTATCTGCTCAGCGAAGAGCGGGATAACGTTTAGAATCCAATGTATGATTGCGTATAAATTAAAATTAAGAGATTAAATTCTACGACTTTTACTTGTAAAACTAAAATTTACAAGAAAGCCACATTAGTATAATGACTTGTTAAATTGATAATAAATTTGTTTTGATTGGTTTTGAAGTTATAATACATTCGTATTAGATTCTACGATTTTTTTCTTTCGATTAGAAAATTTTCAATTTTACATAGATATACAGTAAAAGTAAAATTAAAAATTTTTTTGCAATTTTTTTATTTTTTATCGAAAATTCTTGTAAAAAACAAAATAAAGATCTCATTTAAGATAAACGTTACGAAGAGCTGTAAAAGTGTCGGGATAATACTGTAGATTATAGTAGGTATTGTATGAAGGCATTGTGAAGCGTGACTATTTGGAATAAAGATTTCATAAAATCTCGTCACACACAGCATTTCTGTTCCCTGGTAGCAACGAATTTCTGTAGTTGTAATTAAAAAAAAAGTGCTGAGTAATGAATATAACTATATACTGTACTCTAACTGTGCCTATTATTAGACATGTTTGTCACGATTATTATTATGTTATTATTTACTGTTATCGCCGTCGTAAAAAATTTTTTATAGTTTGTAGTAATTCTCATTACGTTGTAGTACCATATGCTGCGCGCGATGTTTTCTTTTTCTTTTTTTACTCGATTAAGATAGGGTCCTACGAGTCTTGGTGGCTGCGTGCATTTTTTTTGTGTCCCAGCGTGAAAATTTTTATTTCGTCGAGTATTGAGAAAAGGCATTTAAAGCACCAAGTAGAAAGTTCTGTCGAAAGTTGTAAGCACAATGTAAAGTGATCTTCGATCAACTATGCCTATGGTTCACGACTGTCGAGGAAGTGATATGTCGTACGATTTCGATGGGCATTCGAATTACTACTGCCTTTTTCATATTGCGTAAAAGAAAAGAAAGAAAGTGTCTCTCAGTTACCACAATATTTTTGGGAGCATCGTACGCCGATGGTGTTCACGCCTACACACGTAAACACAGAAAAGTATATACTATGTTACATCGACCGTCTACCGACTATTGATTGTGAGAAAAAAAGAAATAAATTACGAAGAAATATAAGCGGGTTTAATTATTAACGCTAAGTAATATCTACTTGACGCTCGCGATAGATACGCGTTAAAGAAAATCGTGAACACACGTGAGCGATCGTTTGAAAAATTCAGGGGATTTCATTTAAGCTGCAGAAAATACCTCCGTATTATATTATGTAAACATTCATTATCGAAATAAACTTAAGACTGAAAAGGTGTAAGACTATTATTTCTCTTTCAATAAAATTGTTACCATTCTTCTATACAAGACACAATTGTTGCAAACTTTACGATTGCAGATAAAATATTGCGAAGAAATATATTATATACTTATACACAAATGTTTCATATTACAATATTACTGGTGTTGAATATTTATATCTTGATCGAAAATGTACACGACGATTCTTTCTGTCACACATAACTCGCAATCCTCTTAAATCAACTTTATAACGAAGTAATCCCATTAGCAATATTATTAGTAGTATGGCTTCGAGGGAAGCCCCGGCAAGACTATATGAATCCAAACTGGGTGCCGGAGACGTGTCACTTCTGGGCGGGAAATAAATTTCTCTGCTAAAACACTTTGTTCGTTTAGAAAAAAAAACAGTGCCAAATGTTCCCTATATTATTTTTGGTCTTCGTTGTAGCCATTAAAGTATTTAAAAAGACCACTCCTAATGGTGAGTTTGCTCAACTCTATCGAGACTTCTTCAAAATCTTATTTATCTTGCTTAATAAGCCGCGCTTAATAATATCACGTTAAAATATCCTATAGGCAAAATTACGGCATATCTGGGCAAAAGAGATTTTATCGACCATCTAGATCGCACTGATCCCATCGACGGCGTTATCGTCGTGGAAAATGACTACCTTCAGGGGCGCAAGGTCTTTGGTCAGGTAGGTAAAGCACAAAAGACATACAATTCTTGTAAAAATGTTCTCAGATATGATTCCTGAAAGTCATCCAGCACATTTCTCATTAATATATAATATTGTAACGTTATATATTGTATTTAGGTCTCGACAACCTACCGATATGGCCGGGAAGAGGACGAAGTTATGGGAGTTAAATTCAGTAAGGAGCTGGTATTGTGTTGCAATCAGATAATACCGGTGAAGAAGGAGAAGCAGGAGATTACATCGATACAGGATCGCTTGTTGAAGCGCTTGGGTTCAAATGCATATCCATTCATGTTCCATTTTCCGCAGACGGCTCCTTGCTCGGTCACTCTCCAACCCGGTGATGATGATCAAGGGAAACCCTTAGGAGTCGAGTACGCTGTGAAAATATTCGTTGGAGATAACGAAGAAGATAAGGTATAGAAATGGGAAATGAGACATACATGAATATGAGAAATTAATGCGATATAAAAACAAATTAATAATTTAAACCAAAATTTTGCAAAAATCTGCTTTATATTTTATCAGGGACACAAAAGGTCTTCTGTTTCGTTGGCCATCAAGAAGTTACAGTATGCTCCACCAATACGAGGCCGTCGACTTCCCAGCTCTTTGGTTTATAAGGGATTCACTTTCTCCCAGGGCAAACTAAATCTGGAAGTTACACTGGACAAAGAGCTCTACTATCACGGCGAGAAAGTTGCGGCGAACGTCACAATTACGAATAATTCGCGAAAGGCAGTAAAGAACATTAAGGTAAATTCTAAAATTAAACTCTATCTTCTTCTCGTGAATCAATCAAAATTAAATCAAAGTGTTTGTATTTTACACTATCCTGTTTTCTTCGTAGATGTTCGTCGTTCAACATTGCGAGGTGACCATGGTAAACGCCCAATTTTCGCGACACGTGGCTAGTTTGGAGACTCGCGAGGGTTGTCCGATCACACCAGGCGCATCCTTCACGAAACAATTCTATCTTGTGCCTCTGGCCAGCAGCAACAAAGATCGGCGTGGCATCGCTCTCGACGGGCATCTCAAAGTGCGTAATAAGCTTAAATAAGCTTGAAATGATTAAACGTAATTATTTTATTAATCAATGACTTTTCTTATGTTAGGCTGTTAATATATAAAAGATTATATAACATAAGTTTTATCAATATTATGAAGTATATTTATTTAAAAATATTGTTTATATAAATACAATATATAAATTTATAAAAATTAATGTTTTATAATATAATATATAAATATATAAAAAATTAATGTACTAATAATATAAAAAAATTCATTTTGAGTATTCCGTTTAGGATGACGACGTAAATTTAGCATCCTCAACTTTGGTAGCCGAGGGCAAGTGTCCAACTGAAGCTTTGGGTATTATAATCTCTTATTCAATCCGAGTAAAGTTGAATTGCGGTACTCTGGGTGGTGAGCTGGTTACAGATGTTCCATTCAAACTGATGCATCCAGCCCCTAGTATGTCGTTTAAAATATTTTGATATTTATGTATTGTAATTATCGTATAAATTACTGTAAATATCTTTTGAACAAAAAAGTTTACTTCCATTTTTAGACGAAAGAATTTATAATTTAAATAAAACATTTTAAATGTCCAATTTAGATTTATTCAAGCATTTTCTTTATTTCTGCAGACGCCATTGAAAGAGAAAATGCCATGTTGAAGAAAAGCAAGAGTATCGACAGGGCACGGTACGAGAACTCCTGCTACGCCAACGACGACGATGATAATATCATATTTGAAGACTTTGCTCGTTTGCGCTTGAATGAACTAGAGTAAACCAGAGAGACAGAGAGATACAAGAAATAAGCGAGATTTTAGCGCTTTTTATCTTGCGATTATTTTAAAAGAATCCTGAGCTTTTTGTTCGTGATGAATTATCTTTCGTGTTTAAAATAAAAAATTTTATTTTTCAAATATTAAAGCTAAAATTAATTACACATAATTAAAAAACATATATATATATATATACAACTTGAGATATTTTAAATAATTTACTTAAAATTTTCGTCTCTTTGGATTCTTTTGATTTGGTTTCTAATAAACGAGCTGTATTAAATGAATGTAGGTAAAAAAAAGAAACTATTAAAAAAAAATTAACTATATAATATTATGAAACTGTTACTGAAGAAAAAAAAATGAAATACAAAAAAAGCGAAAAGATAACCAAATATAAAAAAATCGTCTCGGAATTTCTGTGCAATGGTGGTGGTTGGACAGAAATTCATTGCAAGATGAACAAAAAAAAGAATGTCAAGTAAGCTTAATAATTGTATGGTTAAATTTAAGAATTTCCCGTTTTACCAGAAGTGACATAGTATGTATATTATTCGTCCCAATTAATTTCTTATGTTTTATGATATTCCACACATTCAATTATTTATTTATTAACAAAGAACTCTGTTGATTGACGATACTCTGTTCAGTTGCAATTACATTAGAAAATACATTGAAACTGTAAAAAAAACGCACCTTTATCTTTTCTCTATTCAAATCGATTTTTCAAATCCTTCAGATGCTACAGCAAATACATGCACCTGCAACTACATTATCGATATAGAGAAATACATACAGGACGATCCTGTCAGGATTGCTACGTCACTATGAAAGATCATTGCATCATTATCGAAAATTATATATATTTTGTGGCTATACAAAATATTACAGGGAACAACGATACCAAATCAATATCAGTCTTATGCAGAGCATTATGAAGACGACTCTCGTTGTTCTTCGCCTAGTCGTACATATGCGAATAATATTCCTGATACGTCTGGATATAAGACTCCTTCTCTATGGGCGTCATTTCCGCAATTAAGGTGTCGTTAACGTCGGTGATCGCAACGGTTTTGCCGCCGACACTAACGGTCGGTACTAATTCATCGTCCTCGGAATCCATTGCCTCTATCTCGCCTAAAATTCGGCAATAGTAAAATTTAAGAAGATACAGATTAATTAGAAATCATTCGAATATTCTGCAAGTTTCATTTTTATTATTTTTCACTTTCGAGGTCTTTTATATTATATTACTCTCTCTTCAAACGATTGATTGTCGCGCGACATTTCGGAATCTTTTGATAAATTTTGTGTCTCACCAGTATCAACTGTCTGCATTTCCTCCTCCTCATTATCGCTACTGTCGCTGGATTCCTGTGGAAGCGCTGCTTTGATAGATGCCGCGGAATTGGTCCCACTCTTCTTCTCGTGAGCCAATAGCACTGACATGATGTCCTCGCCCTGTTTATTATTCGTCGTAATCATGTTTGTGGCAGTGGCTGCAGCTTTGTCCAAAATGCTGTCTTGTGCATTCACGCCATCAGGCTGTAAGACATTCGAAAATAAAGATTAAAATCTATATAACTTAAGATACAATTGAAAAGCAATTAAAACAAGAGATAATAGATTTCAACCTATTAGAACAGTTTCTAACAGCTTAATTTGTTATTTCCTGTTGCCCGCGTTTTTCAATTGTGTCTTAAATTATATCTCAAGCTTCAGAAAAAGATGCAATAAAACAACAGAAATAATACCTGTGAACCATCGGAATTGATAACTGTACTTTCCCTCATCCATATGGGTCTCTCCTTTCTGTGATTCGACGCGTCATCGGGAGATTCGTCTCCAATAGTAACATCCACTCTAGTATCCTCCACTATAAAGCCTGTCATTCTAGTAGCTTCACCTGACCACTGTTCGCTAGGTGCTCTAAGACTGCTCGGTTTTCTTGTGTCGATACTATTCAAAATAATTATTTTAATAAATATCGTTATATATGAACATTTCTTTAGAAATACATACCCTCGAATAGTATTGATATCGATGGGTTCTGGTTCCAGTATTTCAGGCGCCAATTTGATGCCTTCTACTTCCCTTAATAGTATATAGAGTGGCTCCAATTGTTCATTAAATTTTGCTAATAATAATCTGGAATCTTTCTTTGGAAGAGCAGACTGATCTTCTTCCACTATCTCTCGACAATATGTACATCTAAACTCGCCAGTTCTCATGTCGAAAAGTTGATCAGCCTGTACAAGAATTAAATCAAATCTGTGTAACATGTATCATGTACTTTAAATTAAAAGATTTGCTGTCTAGTGTATACTTTTGGAACTTAAAATGAAATAGACATATTTAATATTTGGTGAAAGCAAGAGTCAATTTTAATGCAGTTTAGTACAGAAGTAAAAAAAAAACAAACCTGTTACAATCTAATATATTATAATAGGTCTGTTTTTAAATTGTCATATTTTGGTTATATCTTAATTATAATATAATAAAACAGAATAAAAACTGTTTTATCTTAAAAAATAAATTTTCTTAATTCAATTCTTAAAATTACATCAAGCTTACCACACTGCCATACTTACTTCAAGATCAGTAAATGTCTTTAAACAACTCGGACACTTAAAACTAGCTCTACTGGTTGCATCTCTCTCCTCGGTTTCCATTCTCTTTCTCATTAAATCGAGTTTATACTTCACCACATTTACAAATGTCTAAAACAAAGATACAAACTCTTTTCATTCATTCTTCCATTTGTTAGTATTTTCCATCAAGTTAAAGAGAGTCGTAACCATGTTACTTACTTTATAATTAATAAAGTAATAGTTGACTTTTTGTGCTTTGCCATCTGACCCTGTCTCCATCTTCAATCTCACTTGAATGAACTTATCATTTCGCAATGTGGATATCCTGGCTCTTAACATCTTGCGTTCAAACTTGAGCAATTCACAAATATCATCTTCTTTCATACCTGGTGATATTTTATTATAAAATATTATTTCAATTATATGAAATATTTTCTAAATCATATAATTACTTACATGGATTTCTGACCAGCATATCCACAATTAAAGCATCTTCAATCGAGTAAAATCCACGTACAACAAGACGTGCCAGTTTCTTTAAGCTACTAGGTACCTCAGTGACAAGTCTCTCCTCGCCGCTCATATTTCAGATGATGAAAATGGTTTTCTAACAATCGATATCGTTGCCAAATAACAATAATTTTATCAATAATATTATTATCGTTATTATTACGTTACTGTCCGTTCACAGACCAGGCTCACAGCAGTAGTGCACATTTGGCTCCCGGCAGTCCCGGCACTATGGAAAACCCGCCCCACCACTTTTACCCCCACCAAGCAGACACCTACTCGCACCGAGTTGGCAAACTTCGCCGCTGCGCGAGAGCGAGCGAGACAGCGAGAGAAAGCCTCACAGTTTCATGTCAAACGCACTTTACGATAATCACATACATCGCATTCTCCAAAAATACGATCGCTATACTGGTAAAATTGTAAGCGTATCTTCATTTTTCTTCTAGAAATCAGATCTACTTTGTTTAAAAAAGATATTTTATAGTAAAATACCGACAGAAAAATGGAAAAGACAAAAGCTTCACGAATACAATTATTACACGAATTCTTACAATGATCAGATTTTTCTCCTGTTTTTCTCTTTCTTCTCTCGTTATATCCTGAGATGGAACATCGCCCTACGTTTCAGGAATGTTGGAAAAACCACGAGAACACAATATTGTCCGCCAATGCGCGGTAAATTTATGTCGCGACTGCCTTGGAGTGTCTCGGACTATCTTTAGGTTAGAATCAGGAAAATCCCGCAATCGCGGTGTTGCGCCATTTGCGCCGCATGACGCACCACGGTGCTGTGAGCGCGCACGGCGGAATACATGCGCGGCTCCAAGAACGTATCTGCCAGCGTCTAGTCCCGCGATCGCGCATGCGTAGACTTTGCTCCTCGAATAAATCCCTAGGAAAATTAAATTTATTCACAGGTTGATATTTGGTAGTATTGCGATGTTCTTTTATTAATATAAATTTATCTCTCTCTCTTCCCCCCCACTTGAAAGAAAATATTGACAAGGAAAATAAAAAAATACCTTCGTTCGAGCGAAGTCTCGTAGAGGACTCTGAAGTATTTTGAAGATTATTTTGGAAATTAGAGAAATTAAGTTGTGCCTCTGCTCTCCGAGGAGGCAAAAACTAGATCGTAAGATCAAATAACACATGGTACTTTGACCTGTATAAGGTCAGAAATCCATACAAGAGTTTGAAAGAAAAAAAAGAAGAAAATAAAAAGATGACGTTTTCTTATATCTTATTGGTCTTTTCTACTAGAGGACACGCGCATGCGTGTTGCATGGAAAACTGCGTGGCCCTACTATCAACACGTTTGCTAAATGACTGCGAGCTGTCAAACTGTTAAATGTCAATAAATTTTCACACGAATAATTTACGTATAAAGAATTTTAATAAGATTTGACAATGGCGGCAATCGATAAAGTTAAAATTATCGTAGTGGGCGACTCAGGTGAGCATAAGAAAAATATTTAATATTTTAAACATGTAATAATCTTTTTTTCTGGATTATTATCAATGTTCTGTAATATTTTATTTGAATGAAGTCAAATGAAACTTGGGATAAATATTATGATAAAGATATTTCTTGCTATCGTTAATATTTTTATTAATATCAAAGATATTTCTAATTATTCTAATATTTACACATTTAGGTTATGTATAACTATGTGATAATAGATCTGTTTTTTATAACTAAACTGGTGAGTACTCTTTGTATTTAAAAAGAAATTAGTAATCCTTTTCTTTTAACTGAACTTCTTGCACAATTCATCTTTCCTCTTTTTCTTTTTATGTTGAATAAAGAAAAGAAAGAAAAACAAATTGTGCAAGAAGTTAAAAAGAGTAGATCTAATTAAATGTTTTTATATATTTGACAAAAGTGAGAAGGAAAATTTTAGAGCAGTGCAGTGATAAAAAACAAATCTAATGTACAGATTATGAACTGTTAGAGGAATATTATTTTGTGTAAGAGAAATGTTATTTTTATGAGAAAATGTATCATAGATAATAATGTGATAAATATAATAATAATGATAAATATCTTTATTATTACAGGAGTCGGCAAAACATCGCTGACACACTTAATATGCCAACAGCAACCTATCGGCAACCCTGCTTGGACAATAGGTTGCTCAGTAGAAGTCAAGTTGCACGAGTACAAGGAAGGCACACCAAATCAAAGAAGATACTTTGTCGAGCTATGGGATGTCGGTGGCAGTCAAAGTCACAAAAATACAAGATCTGTATTTTACAATCCCACAAACGGTATACCCATATTTTATAATGGTTAAGTGTACAACGTTTGTATTTCTTTAACATACAAATGCATAATTGTGACAGAATATGAGTGATTGCAAATATATGTCGTTTACAACTAGGCATAATATTAGTCCACGATTTAACGAATCGTAAATCACAGCAGAATCTGCAGAAATGGCTGGAGGAGGTTTTAAGTAAAGATGGGACTTCTCCAAAGTCCAAGTTCGAAGATTTTGATCCTGAGAAGTTTGTGGGTTCGACGCAGGTGACAATAATTTTCCAAACTATTGTGATATATTAATGTCAAATTACGTAAGTATAATAAATAACATTTATTTCTAGATTCCAATTTTAGTCATTGGCACGAAATTTGATCTGATCTCGGACTCTAATTTCGTAAAATCCAACATACACAGACGTTCCGCAACCATCGCGGAAGAATGTGGTGCCGACGAAATTTTTTTGGTAAGGATTACTTACCTGACAGACTCGCCAAACATATTAAAAAAAAAATTAATTAAAATTCAATTGGATATATTATGTGAAATTTTTAATCAACATATGGCTAAGGCTTCTGTTTTACATGCTTTATTGTAACAGGATTGCCATCAAATAAGATCTTTGGCAGCGGGCTCTAGTTCGTCCGTGAAGCTTAGTAGATTCTTCGATAAAGTTATCGAAAGACGTTACTATTCCTCCAAAGAAGCGATCAGTCCTGACAAGCGAAGGCCACCACTATACACTTCTTCGATCTATCCAAAGTTTTATCATAACGACTGAGTGTCAAGAATGCCACTTGAGTATCAAGAGATCTCAATCTTATTTCTTGTTATACAGAACAATGGAGGGATTAGGCGGAATAAAGGTCTAATTACAAAATCTTGATATTTTGATATTAATAAAAATTAAAAGAACTTGCTATTTTTTTATTATACACAAATGGGTATAATATCAAATGAATTTATGTAATGTCTTTAAGAAGTTATATGTTACAATACTTCTCTATTATGGGCCTTCTACAATAAGTCACAAGTCAGAACGTCAGAAGTCTTAACCAGTCTTAACCAAGTCGTTCAAGTTGGCTATTGGTCAACTTCACCGATTATGACTTAAGATCGCTTAGAACTTCTGACTTGCGGCTTATTGTAGAAGGGTTATTACGATCAATATTACATGAAAAAGCTAATTGCCGGAAAAAGGGCCTAAGTAGAATTGTGCCTTTATTCCGCCCATCCCCTCAATTGTTCTTGTGACACGAAGCGTTATGAGCTTTCTACAATAAGCCGCAAGTCAGAACGTCAGAAGTCTTAACCAGTCTTAACCAAGTCCTTTAAGTTGGTTATTGGCCAACTTCACCAATTATGACTTAAGATCGCTTAGAACTTCTGACTTGCAGCTTATTGTAAAAGGCCCATTATAGGATTGCGCGAATTAAGTACCGCAAGACTATCGATCTCGCATTTTTTATCCACATTCCTAAACTTTCCACGAAAGTATCTTGTCAGATATACTCAAAAGAAAGAAAAAGACAACTATCAATGCAGTGTAGATAAAAATATATTAGGCATTCGATATATTTTTCATATATCTATATTGTAGAGACGTCGCATTGTATACAATTGTTTTATAATGTAACAATATAATCTATTCAATATCTTATTATTATATTAGCAAAATATAATTATATAAAAAAATATATACATTACATTTTTTTACTAAGTATAAGAATATTCAAGCCTATGACGGTCAAAGCTAGATCTTTTTTTGCCTAAACAATTCCCAGGGAATTATCTATATCCTATATATGTACATGCATATATATCATATTTTTGTAGTTATTCAAACTGCGCGTCGAAATTTTTCCGAACTCTATCTAACGCAATTAAACTACTGCAATAATATCACAAGTTAAATTAAATTGACAATGTGCTGAAAAAAGATCTAGCTTTGACCGTCATAGGCTTGAATATTCTTATACTTAGTGTTTAATTCTTGTCGGTCCGAATAAGATCTTATTATTGGTTACATTTTTTTGTTAAATTAATATAGAATATCCTATAAAGATTTCTCAGTGCGAAAAGCATGTGGATTGAGATTGAAACAAGGTGAGTTTTCGTCGATTGATCAATTGTGCTATGTGCAAATACAAGGAATTAATTGTGCATTTTTAAACAAGATGAAAAATGAACAAATTTAAGTTTTGACCAATGAAATTATAAATATACGAGGGTCATCTGAAAAGTTTTGAGCCTAACATAGAAACAAATAATTTTTCGGTCAAATTCAATTTTATTTTTCCACATAGTCTCCTTTTAAGTCGATACATTTTTTCCAGCGATGCTCCCACCCCTTTAATCCATTCAAATAATACTGAGCGTCTTGCTTTGCAAAATAGGCGTCTATGGATGCGATGACCTCCTCGTTCGATGAAAATTTCTGTCCTCCGAGCCAAATTTTGAGCCTAGGAAACAGAAAAAAGTCGCTGGGGACCAGATCTGGTGAATACGGTGGATGGTCAATTAATTCGAACCGCAATTCGTGAATTTTTGCCATAGCGACCGCCGAAATGTGAGACGGTGCGTTATCTTGATGGAACAGCACTTTCTTCTTTTTCAAATGTGGTCGTTTTTTCTCAATTTCTGCCTTCAGCTTGTCAAGCAATGATGCATAGTACGTCCCTGTTATTGTTTTACCTTCTTCAAGATAATCGATCAACACAATTCCATGACTGTCCCAAAAAACAGTCGCCATCACCTTTCCCGCCGATAAAATCGTCTTCGCTTTCTTCGGAGCAGGTTCACCGTTTTTCGCAGTCCATTGTTTTGATTGTTCTTCAGGAGTTAAGTGGTGGACCCAAGTTTCATCAACCGTTATTAATCGACGCAAGAAATCCGACTCGTTTCGCTTAAACTGCTCCAACAGGGCCTTAGAAATGTTCATTCGAATGCGTTTTTGATCCAGAGTGAGCAAGCGCGGCACCCAACACGCGGTTAACTTACGCATGCCTAATTCTTCATTCAATATATGACAAACACGTTCTTTTGATATGCCAACAGCCTCTGCTATCTCCCTAATCTTAATTCGACGGTTGTCCATTATCATTTGATGAATTCCTTCGATGTTATCGGTGGTGGTCGCAGTTGTTGGCCGTCCCGAACGCTCATCATCAGCTAAGCTGGTACGACCACGTTTATATTCAGCTACCCATCTTTTCACGGTGGCAAATGATGGGGCAGAGTCCCCGTAAACAGCGTCCAACTCGGCTTTAATTTGCGTAGACGTATTGCCTTTCAAATGCAAGAATTTAATTATAGCACGATATTCAATTTTTTCCATTTTTGCAAAATGACACAAATAATCGTCAAACAAGAACTGAACGTCCAAAGTGGCCACAATTGTCACAGATATCTTTCGTGAGCATCACGATTATAATACCAGAATGGCTTTGACGAGTAACGCCATCTTCATGATGAGGCTCAAAACTTTTCAGACGACCCTCGTATATCGACCCCCAGCTTTTACGGAGCAAGATTACATTTGAGTATAAATACGATTGATCAATTAATGAAATAAAATAAAAAATAAAATAATTCATAAAGAGAATTTGTGCAACAATTTGGCGCTAATAATTCAGTTTATTTTTTTTATCTGCGAGCTAAGATTGGACATCGCGGGCCATCAGTAGCATATTCTTGGTCCACTAGAGTGCAAATAGTGCAAAACAATGCCGGTCATGCCGGTGACGCGGATTGGTCAAGTTGTCTGCCAACTGCCGGGATAGTTACTTCGTGGTATGAATTCGCTTTCATGACGGCGCGAACGGAATCTTTCAAAACGCACGTCCTTGCCAGTGAATGAATGCGGACGGCAGAAGCGCGTGACAGGTGCGCGGGATAATTCGCACGTATGGTTTAAACGGATAGTCCAGGATAGTCACGAAGCGGGGGAAAGCGGGCCTTTCCTTCTGTATTGAAGTTCTGTGGACGTGGACCTCGACTTGGGATTCTGTCAGTGTCGTGCTCCGGTCAGCTCCGGTCGTGAGTGTGAGATCAAGTAAAGCGACGTGCAACCTGTCCGGCTCTCCACATGTGTGAGTATCCAATTTAGGTCAGGCACGTGTACATGCCTGCCTTTTTTTTCATTCAAGGTTATCGTGTCTATACATCAAGATAAATATAAAAGTGATATAATACTGATGATAACATCGATGAAAGGATTATTCTGCCAGATTTCTGAGACTATGGGCGATCTCGACCAAATTCCGATTAACTTAATCGTTATTAATGACTAGCTCGTCAAGTAATACTTATATTTGATAACATAATTATTAATTTTAATTATACGGGAAAAAGATTAAGAATGACAAATTATGGTATATAGTTATTGGAGATTTAATTTTAAGTGATTCTGTCAGTTGAATTAGTTGTCAATTAATTAATTGGAGTCCTACACATTAATAAGTTGTAGTATTAATTAATAAGTTGTCCTACACACATCCAAGCTTATAGCACATTATAGGCGTGACGCTTGAGTAACATGATGAATCATATATCTTAATAGGTGGCTTTTTTGCTTTCCAGGTAATATTCCTACAATTATGTCTTATCATTTTGCAAAGACGTGTGCTAGTACGAATGGTCTCTGTCATGTGTTGATGCATGTACGACCTATGATTTGTATTCAGAGATTTAGCTACGCTCATGATATAAACATAAACTTGAATGGTGGACCAGTCAGTATTCTAAAGCAGAAAATAGCTAGGGGCGAGCTGGTGAACGATACGTACCAGACGAAAGTAGCACAGACCCTGCAGCAAATTTATCAAGAAGTTCAAGATTATAAGCCACAGCAATTAAATCTGTTGGAAAAATGGTTTGGCAGCAAGCGGAGGGATGCGCCGAAAGGGTTGTACATTTACGGAGCAGTGGGTGGAGGTAAAACAATGTTGATGGACCTATTTTACAATTGTTGCCAGGTATCTCTCTGGTTGCTGTATGCATAAGCACTGTGCATGGAAGGCTAAATTTATACCTTAATCTGTTCAATGTGACAACACATGTTTTTTTTTTGCTAATCTAAAAGCAGAGATAACAATTCTTGTGTCAACATCGTAATGTTGAATTTGCACGACTTGTTGTTATTAAAGTAACAGACAGATATTGTGCGACGAGATATCATAAGAGATTTTTTAATTGAAACAAACAAGTTAAAATAAAAGTTTGAATAAAAATAAATCGTTCAGAATAAATAAGTCACTTGATTGACATCTACAATGCACATGGATTGCTAGCATCTCCCATTTTTCATATATTATATCAACTTTAAACTGAAATAAATTTATCGTCATTTATTTCTCCCGAAGATTGGAGATAAAGATGTAATTGTATTCGTTTTCAATTTGACAGACCATATAAATTCAAATCATCTTTAGTAAAATAATGAATGCATATTTTTATATCGATGTTTTAGGTACCTTTAAATATTTTTATGTATATTATTGATTCTTGATTTATGCATTTAGATAATGAGGTGCAACATCATATCAGATATGAAGTTGGCATTAGCAGTCCATATGTATATAGTTGAAGATTAACACATATTATGGCTTTTCATGCATAGTACAGAACAAAAATGAAATTTTTTCATAGTACAATGTAACGTACTTTCGAATGAAAATGTTTCAGATTGAAAATAAGAAAAGGGTCCACTTTCATTCTTTCATGCTGGATGTGCATAGTAGAGTGCACGAGGTAAAGAAGACCATTGTACGAGATGTGACTAGTACCAAGCTGCAACCTTTTGATCCGATACCTCCAGTCGCTTCTGGCATTGCCGAGGAGACTTGGCTGTTGTGCTTCGATGAATTTCAGGTTCAAATTCATATTATTTCAAGAAAACAAATACTACTTGTAAGGTATAATTAAAAATAAAAGATCAATGAAAACAGATGCGTTGCAGGTAACTGATATCGCAGACGCGATGATATTGAAACGGCTGTTCACGGAGCTGTTCGATAATGGCGTGATAGTGGTCGCGACTAGTAACAGATCGCCAGACGATCTGTATAAAAACGGACTGCAGAGAGGAAATTTTGTACCATTTATAAAAGTGCTGAAAGATCACTGCCTCGTTAGTAATTTGGACTCTGGGATAGATTACAGATTAAAATCAGGATCCGGAAATAAGAAGATTTACTTCATGTGTGTAGAAATTAATGTGTACAATTTTTGTGATAACTGTCTATGTTGTCGCCGTCTAACAAGCCGTTTAATTACACAAGAAAAGGCAAAGACGCCACGAACGACGTGGATAAAGTCTTCAAGTACCTGTGCTCCATGGAGAACGACGTGATACGACCGCGCACGATTTCCATAAGAGGACGCAATGTCACTTTTCGAAAAACCTGCGGGCAGGTGCTGGACTCCACTTTCGAAGAATTATGCGACAGGGTGAGAGGTCTTCTATTTTGTGTAGTATTTCATTTTATGTTGATTAGAACTATATGTAATATAAGTATTGATTTCCATGTAGCCTCTCGGAGCAAGCGATTATTTGCAGTTGAGTCAAATTTTCCATACAGTCATAATAAGGGACATGCCTCAGTTGAACCTACGACTTAAATCTCAAGCTAGGCGATTTATTACTCTTATCGATACATTGTACGATAATAAGGTAAGAATTATGCGGTTTTAATTACAAATTATATTTGCGATTTGAGACATTAGAGGATCAATTATATAATAAGTACAGAAAATTTTGATAAAAGAGGAGACAGAACTTTGGCTAATGCAAATAGGATGCAAATTTTTCTCAGAATTCGTGTGAATTAAAACTTCAGAAATATAAGAAAGTTTACATTTTTTTCTTAGAATTTTTCAGATATGTGATTTTTGAAAAATTTAAAGATTTCTCATTCTATAATTTTTGAAAAAATACCGTAAACTTTTCTTAGATTTTATAAAATTTTATCAGAAAATTATAGAATGATAAAAATTTTAGAAATTTAGAATATTTCAAAATTCACGTATATGCAGAATTCTAAAAAAGCTATAGTCTTTTTTGACGCTTTAACTTGTATAAAAAATCTGAGAAATTTTCTAAAAAGTTATTCGGAAAAAATTTTTTACCACGACCAATATGTGACTAATGAAAGTTTATTAAATTGCAGGTACGGGTAGTTATGTCAGCGGCTGTACCACACACACAGTTATTTTTATCGGAAAACGAGTCCGAATATACCGATGAGAAAAGGATGCTGATGGACGATTTGAAGATTACGCATGGCTCGGTAGACGTCGATTTCACAATGACGCAAATTTCTCGTATGATCAAATTATTACATTATGTTAATTTTGTTTTCAGGAAGATCACAAGGCAAACATCTTTACTGGAGAAGAGGAAATCTTCGCGTTCGACCGTACCGTGTCGCGTCTGGCTGAGATGCAGACCTCACAGTATTGGGAGCAGTGGGAGCACCACAGATAATGATAGTGTTAAAACTAGTACAAATAGATTTGTGTGGCTCCGTACGAATTCCCACTCACTCAAAACTAAAGATTGTTAATAATGATTGTAATTTTTATAAGACGATCTCTTGCGAGTAGTTATTTAAGTTTTTGTCAGGTGTGCGCTTTACGCTTAAAGCGTTAACTTTTGCGCTTTCTCAGTATTTTACCTCGTAAATTATTTTGTTGGGAACACAAGTTCCTTGAAGATTACCTCTAACATTAATTTTATTTATATGATTTATGTGCAAAAAATCCTACTGATTGCCAAAAAAAATTGCTCTAATGCAAATATGTGTGTTTATATGTGTGCATATATATAT